AGAAAAAAAAAACAAACCTTTTCTTTTCTGTCCTTTTGTTGCTGTATTAAAGCTTGTTTGCTAGTCATCTCAAACAAAAAATAACATAATTAGAGAAAGTGATGTATTAACCATTCAGAATACCCAACAAATCGTCTGACATTTTCTTGCATCATGTTCATCTTTTTTTAAAGAAGAGAGTGTAGATAATAATTAATAATGCTATTAGAGCATATAGAAGGACAAGTTTCTCTTAAGCTATATCCTTAATTTCCAATATTAAAATGGGTGACAAAAAAATTAGGAAAGAAGTTAGGTGTGCACATAATAAAAGAGTTTTCAATTTTACATGAAAAATCAAAATATCATACGAGGAGGGCCTTTTTCTATTTAATAGTTAGTTCTATGCAACCTACGATTTGTTAATTTGAGTAAAAAGAATTCGATTTTCTTAAATAAAATTTTAAGTTTGACTCTTGTGAATAGAAAAACATGTGTTATGAGAGTTTCCTTCTAATGGAACTTAACGCGACTCGATTTTGAATTAGTTATGATTTAACGTGATTACTGAATATTGAAAGGTTAATACAAAAATAAAAAAAATATAGTTCTATGCATATGATATAAAATATTTTAGAGAGTAAAGAGATAAGGGTAATTTCTTTATATAATTTTTATATGTTATTACATAAATAAATAAATGAATTTAATATTATAAATTTTAAATAAAAAATTAATTAATTATTTAAATAATATGTAAAATTATACAAAAAATTATCATTAAATATATTTTTTATTTTTAAAATAAAATTATAAAAATTTTAGTCATAAAGAGAGTAAGGTGGGCATGATTGCTTGTACAATTTTTTTGCATAGCAATAAGATAAGGTTAATTTATTACCATAATTAAATTGATTTAAATTAATATTTTACCTATTTCAGTAATGATCCATCCATATATTCAACACTTTAAAAAAGGTAATTACTATTAAATATTAACATAATTTTTAATTGATTCTGTTTTAACTTTTAAAAAGACGATGGTAATGAAAACAGAAAACTTTAAATTGGATAGAATTCTTAATATTAATTGGATAGAGTTCTTGATTTTTGTAAAGGTAAAGTCATATGAAAAGAAATTTTCCACTGAAAAGAATCTGATTTTTTTACTTCATCTTATTTGAAAGTGACATGTCAAACTTGCAACTGCACATCTATCCCTTTCTTCGGCTGAGAATATCTCAGTTTTCACTTTTTAAGTTTTTATCCACCGTCCGATTCGGTAGTTATAGTTACTACACTATAGATAAGATAACATAATTTATTTAATTTTTATATTAATTTAATTATTAAAAATATTAATAATTAATAAAATAATAAATATTTATTATTTAATAAATTAAAATTAATTTATAAATACATATTTTTAAATATTATAATAAAATAAAGTTTTTTATAAAAAATAACTTTATTATTTAATAATTTAAATTATAAAATAAAACTTTTTAAAATAAAAAATTTTAATATCAAAGAAGTAATTTTTTATTTTGGAATTAATATTTTACAATTTAAAATCATTTAAGATATAAAGCAGATTTAAAAAAAAAAACTAGTTATAAAATGAAAATAAACAGTTGAATTGTGTGGCTATAATTTTTTTTAAAAAAAAAAGAAAGAAAAAGAAAAAGGCGTGAACGCATAACTACATCCGTTACCATCAGCAGATGTGGGGTCCACTCTGAAGTGTAGGCCCTAACACCCTATACTTTGTTTGGTTTGTCACCAAAATATCATTTTCCCTAGAAAGGGACGGAAAATGCTTGGAGTCTCTGATGGTTGATCAATGGTCGGGAGAACCCCGGCGACGGATAAAACGATGTCGGAGTCGGCGCCTACGGAGTTGCCTGAGAGCAAAACCTGCATTTTCTCCAAGCTCATAGTGGCTTCGATTCTTCAGGAGAAGAAGCTAGTTAAGTAAACTTTCCCCTTCTACTTTCTTTCTCTTTGTTTGGTTGCTGAGAAAGTTGAAAAAGCTAATCGAACTTTAGATTATTATTATTTTTCTAATTGCCTTTTTTTTCTCTCTCGGTACGGTTTTGTTTTGTTTGTCTGGTAGGAAAGTTGGAGAGAAAATTTTAAGGATTTAAAAGATTTTGCTGTGAAATTTCAACTTAGTTAAGGTCAGCCTTTACCTTTCCGAAGTGGCTGCTAGGGTCTTGTCTCACTGGCTTTCTTTAATTTTTACCTGAGGTCCTTGTTGAAGGCTGGGAAAAAAAAAATAAAATCCAAGCTTTGTTTGATTGCTGAGAAAGCTGATTTAAGAAGACTGGAATCTGCACATGGCTTGGCCAAAAAAAAAAAATAAAATAAAAATCTGTACATGGCTATTTTTCTTGTGTATGTATATTTGAAGAAATTTTCCTGGTTGATCAATTTATTCACCCAATTTGTATCTGATGATTGTTGGTATTTACCCTGTATCTTAGTGTTGCTGCACTTAAAAACATCAGCCCAGGGTTTGATAAGAAAAAAATTATCCTTGATGATGAATCAGGGATGAATGAAGATTCATTGATGGCATTCCCCATTGATGTTTTTAAGTGCAGTCCGTCCTGAAAAAAAACATCCTCTTTCTAGTTTGAACTGACAATTTTTTGCTGGTCTGGACTGAAAAATAGTTTTCTTGAAAAAAAAAATGTACAAATATATATTTCTTGTCCAGAATGGGATGGATCTAATTTTATTTTCTTGCCTGGCGTTGGACCTCTAGAAACTCTGTGATTCTGCATTTTGTTTTATGCAGTGACCTGTTCTTTAGTTACCGTCCATCATTATTTTGTTTATAGTAATGCAAGTTGCTTGGCATTTGTGATTTGTTATTAATCATCACTACTTCACTAGCATTATATGGCTCCAAATAAATCTTTGGATAATGTATTCTTTAGGGGCAAACTTCTCTCTTCCTTTTATCTCCACTTGATGAAGTAGGATTACTTTTGGGGCCTAGCACTTTTCATTGTTTCAGTTGCCACTTTCCAGCAATAAAGATGAATGTGTTTATCTTTGACAAATCTCAAGTGATTTAGGACTAACATATGGAATCTTGTACTTGATTTGATATCATGCACAATTGCTTTTCTTCTGTCATCTACTACTTTGAAACAGTTTGAGACTTGGATTTTTGTTATGACAGAGAATTCCGCATAAATTGATTAAGAAATATGGAGATGAACTTGCTTCTGTTGCTATGCTGACGGTTCCCAGTGGTCGAGTCTGGGTAGTCGAATTGAGGAAAGCCAATCAGAAGTTATGGTTAGAGACTGGTTGGCAAGAATTTGTAGAATACTACTCCATTTGCGTTGGATATCTATTGGTCTTCAAATATGAAGGGAATTCATGTTTTGCTGTCCAGATATTTGATCTGGCAGCTTCAGAGATAAAATATCCATGTCGTTCTTTATGTAATGTAGAAGAACCCAGTAATGGCAAGCTCTGTCGTGTTCACCATGTTATAGACTTAGAAGATGGCGACTCTGCTGAGACTATGGGTTCTTGTCCCACATGTCTCAGTTCTGTTTCTTTGATAAACAAAGATTTTGATGAATCTCCAGGTGGTGATCAGGCTAAATATAAGAACTCTCCATGTAGAGCTATTATAAGGAACTCATGTCTAGGACAAGAAGCTTATAATTTTCAAGCTACTTCTCAACTGACTCGAGATATAGGGATTCAGTTCAGTGGAGTTGAGCTGACAAGTAATGCAGATGGAGTTGAACTGCATTTCTTGCCTGAAGTGGAGCAAAGAGCCAAAAGAATAAAGCAGGAAACTGAACCTGGTAAGCTCCATATACTTGGATAGTCTTTTATGTTCTCTTTCTTTTATCAGCACATTTTTATGGGGTTTTTTGAATAATCTTTCCATCTCTTGTTCCTTGAAGATTTACCGGTCCATGTGGAATCATTAAGCAAATACGAGGTGAAAGAGTTCCCCAATGTGGTTAACTCTTCCTGGAACTACAGGGAGAGGAGAGTTGTGACAGCTGAAGAAAAAGAGAGAGCAATTCGTGCAGCTGCAATGTTCAACCCTGAGAATCCCTTTTGCAGAATAATCTTGCGGCCATCCTATGTATATAAGGGATTGCTTCTGGTTAGTCCTTGGATGCTTGCTTAAAATTTTTTGATTTTGTTTGGAATCATGTTTAATTAGAAGAATTCTGCCTCTTTGCTTCTGCAGCATGTCCCTGCCAGCTTTGCTCGAGCTTGTCTAAATGGCACTGAGTACATCACACTCGAACTATCAGAACACAAACAGTGGCGTGTGAGATGTCTTTCTGGTCCTAGGGGAACAAAGTTTACCAAAGGATGGCCTGAATTCGTCTGGGATAACAACTTGACTGCAGGAGATGTTTGCGTATTTGAGCTTATTAACACAAAGGATATTGTGCTGAAAGTTACCATTTTCCGGGTTCTTGAATGTGCTGGTTAATGAACCAACAATAAAAATAAATGTGAGCATCCTCTTTCTACACTGATTAACTTTAATTTTTTTTTCTTTGGTTGATAAAATTGCAAGTAAATTTTCTTCAATTTTGTTGCTATTTTAAGCATATATAGAAACTATTCTCAATTCTTTCTACACATTCGATTTGGTTATTGTGGTATGTTTAATAAGCATTTCTGACTGATTCTTGTTTTGTTTTCAGGAAATCGCTGCATAAACCATGTATATTAACTTGGCTAGATGTCTAAATATGAAGGGAAAGTGGAGTCGATAGCATTAGTTCGTGTCGGTGTAGGTTGACTTGTCTATGCAATATCTTGACTCTTGAGATCTATGTTCCATGTACTTATTCCCATGTTGGAGAGATGGATGATTTTAGAAAAGAGACGAACCCTCCATGCTTTGGTTATTCTTCCTTCTATTGAGAAAAAAGTACGAAGTGTTTATATTTAGGTATCTGAGAAGAGTGCGTGTTTGGCTACTACAAAAATTTGGAAATTTGAATCCATAATCTTAACCTCAAGTTTTTCTTAATCAAGTTTGTTAGGAAATCTGGGAAACTCTCAGATACTGCAACTCGAACCGTCTCCAATTGTCCAGATTGGCAAGTAAGCCTGAAAAGGATGAGAATACAATTTGGTTTGATGATGGTTAGCATGATTTTGTGAACCATAATTGGATATGTTATGGTAACATTCTAGGGTAGAGGAAATTCAAGATTCCATGCTCTTAAATTTGATAAAGTGCTCATGAAAATAGATTATCCATGCAGTTATAAAAAAGGCAATGCCTGTTCAAAGGCTTTGTCCATTGCACAAGCTTTTGGACACAAAGCTATCTCAGCCAAAATTGCCACTATTAGATAGGAACAGCAATTTATATCCAAACCAAACAATGGCATGCCTTTTAGATAAAACGTAAAATAACTGAAACAGCTGTAGGCATTGACCAAGAAAAAAAAAAAACAACATCAACAACATTGGTCAGCAATTCGACATGACAGAAAGATGGAGACACCAAGACAATAAGCTCTGCATTTTTCTGACTCTCGGTAGCGCCAGTTACTCTTCTGTGATCACGAGTTGTTCTTCCTTTTTCATTTGAATTTGATTCTTTCAAGTTCTCTAGAACTCTTGCACTTTCCAGAAAATGCTCAACAATTTTCATTTGATCTTCACCCACCACAAATGATAAGACTTCAATTGTCTTGAGGTGAAACAATAAACAGCTGACTCCAGATTCCTTCAGTGTGAATTGTGAACCAAGAATCCCATTAAAATGTTTTCTGTAGGCTAAGTTTGTGACTAACTTATGTGAGATGAATTCTTTAACTTTCACAGACTTCAGTCCTACCTCTTCTAGTCTAGAACAAAAATCAGCTACACAAGAATAAAGCATAGAAAAGAGAATACGGGCATGAAATAGAATCAATAACATTGCACAAGACAATAATTTTGGACACAAAGCTACATCAATCAAAATTGCCATTGTTAGAAAAAGGGTAGTTTATACAGGAAAGGATCTCATCGATGGCATAAAACCAAAAACTTAAGGGAGTACAATACTTTTAGATTGAAAATCAAAATTTACTGAACAATGATAGGCAATTCAACTTACCAGGATATGAATATACCTAGACAAAAGTGACTCTGCATTTTTGTGAGACTTTTGGTAGCATTGATAACTCTTCGGTGATCCTGAGTTGTTCTTCCTCGCTTGCCTTCATTTGAATTTTCAAGTTCTCTAGAACTCTTGCACTTCCCAGAAAGTACTTCACCATTTCCATTTGATGTTCACCCCCAACAAATGATAAAACTTCAAGCGTCTTGAGGCCAAACGACAAACAAATGGCTCCAGATTCCTTGAGCTCGTTCCAAGGATAAGGATCCCATAAAAATCGTTTGTCTGGATCATAACCTGTAGACAATTCCAAAACAAGTAGTTCTAGACAATGACATTGTGCCAATAAATTTGGCAGCCCTGAAAAGCCGAAAGGCATCCGGTGGGTAATTCTCAAATTAGTCAAATTACGGAACAAAGGGATTGGAACACTGAGGCCTTTAAAATACTGCAAAAGAAAAGGAAAGCAGTAGTTAGCTGCACATCTTTTGTAGCAAAAAAATCACTAAACTGAAAAATTGTGCAATTCATCATTCATATAAAGAGATGTCATCAGAAAACCTACATGTAGGGTACTACAAGGTAAACAAAGTGTCTGAACGTTTCTTATCCCTGTCAACAGACCACTAGCAGGACAAAAATAATCCTGTTCCGACAAATATATCTGAAAATTTATATAGGCTTCGGTAAGAGACTGCACATTCACAAATACATGAGAGTTTGCTTCGCAACCAGTGTATTTCAAGTAGACAAGATTTGGGGCATTAATCACAATCTCGAAACTGTTATAGTCCTCATTGCTTACGGATTTTATTGTCAGCCTCTTGAGTGTAGAACTAGAAACAATTAATTTGCAGTCATCATGCTCTCCAAAATAACTGCTGATAACCAGATCCTCAAGAACAGGGCAGTTGGAAAACAGCCTTTCAGCAGAATCATCACTGGAAAAGCACATAGAATTGTCAAGGTCAAGAATTTTCAGACTCGGGAGCCAAACTTTGGCAGGGACTTGGAAACCAGATGCAGAGTGATCATTTCTCAATCTCAGAGCTACCAATGTTGTACAAGTAAATAAACTACTAGGCAGAAGCAGCTGATTGAGCC